CATCCAGGGTGTAAGCACAGCACCCATCCAAGCGTCTAAGCACAGCACCCATCCAGGGGTGTAAGCACAGCACCCATCCAAGCGTCTAAGCACAGCACCCATCCAGGGGTGTAAGCACAGCACCCATCCAGGGGTGTAAACACAGCACCCATACAGGGGTCTCAGCACAGCACCCATCCAAGCGTCTAAGCACAGCACCCATCCAGGGGTGTAAGCACAGCACCCATCCAGGGGTGTAAGCACAGCACCCATCCAGGAATCTAAGCACAGCACCCATCCAGGGGTCTCAGCACAGCACCCATCCAGGGACCTAAGCACAGCACCCATCCAGAGGTCTTAGCACAGCACCCATCCAGGGACCTAAGCACAGCATCCATCAAGGGTCTAAGCACAGCACCCATCCAGGGAACTCAGCACAGCACCCATCCAGGGGTATAAGCACAGCACCCTTCCAGGGGTGTAAGCACAGCACCCATCCAGGGGTGTAAGCACAGCACCCATCCAAGCGTCTAAGCACAGCACCCATCCAGGGGTGTAAGCACAGCACCCATCCAGGAATCTAAGCACAGCACCCATCCAGGGGTCTCAGCACAGCACCCATCCAGGGACCTAAGCACAGCACCCATCCAGAGGTCTTAGCACAGCACCCATCCAGGGACCTAAGCACAGCATCCATCAAGGGTCTAAGCACAGCACCCATCCAGGGGTGTAAGCACAGCACCCATCCAGGGACTGGGGAAGAAAGCCGGGCCTCGGTCCTGGTGTGAGGACAGACCTGCTCAGGGCACACGGGGAGTTTGAAATCCTTACCCAGGGAGGCGATCAGTGCCAAGGTCTCCAGCATCACGTCGTGGTACAGGCGCCTCTGAGCCTCATCAAGGAGCTCCCACTCCTCCTGGGAGAAGTACACGGCCACGTCCTCAAAGGTCACCCTGCCCTGGCAGGACGGGGGCCGCTGCAACCAGGAAAAACTCCTCTATTGAGAACTCACTATCCCCCCCTCACCCCCCAGAGCCCCCCACAAGCACCCTGTGCCCGTCCTCCTCCCAATCGCCCAACTCAAAGGACCATCCACGTCCTGGTGCCATTGTGGCCTCAGGGGCTCCGGGAGGACAATGTCCCGCCTGTGCCCTTTGTCCCCAGAAAGAGACTGAAGCTCCGTAAACACTCAGCTCAGCTCTGCCAGAGGCGCGCACAGGGCCCGGGACCAGCTCCCGGCACAGCCTCCCCTGCGGGTGTTTATGGGCTGAAGGCCACGCCAGCGCCTGCATGCGGCCCTGGCGTGGGAGGAGGGTCCTGTGCCTGGGGTTCCTCCAGGCTCCCGGGGACCCCAGTTTGGGGACCTGCTCTCCGAGTCCGAAAGAAGACGCTCCAGAGACGGTGAGGGTGGGGGTCGGGGACAGTGAGGGTCGGGGTCCCCCCCCCCCTTCTTCCCTATGGTCGCACCAGCACTTCCGCAGCCGCGGGACCGGGGAGGGGGCTGGCCCTGGAGACACGCAGCCTCCCTGGATGCGGCGTGCCCGGATGGCCGGGACGCGTGCCGCCTGACCCCCCGCAGTCGGGGCAGCTGGTCTTCCGGGCGCCCCTCCCCTCTCCTCCCCGTCACAGCGGGGGTCACCCCCGAGCGCCTCGCGGTCCTAGCGCGGGGCCGGGGCTGCAGGAGGACGGGCGCCCGCCCCCGGGCTGCGGGGCTGGGTCGGGAGGCGGGGAGGCCCGGGACGTGCTCACCTCAGCCGGGCGCCTGGGCGCGGCCGCCGCCATCGGGCTCAGCGGGCGGGGGCGGCGGGCGAGGGCGCGGTTCCCTCCCGCCCAGAAGCGGGTCCCTCGCGGGGTCGCCGGGCCTCACACCCGCACCCGTGCGGCGCGGAGAACGACTCCCGCCCCTTTGGGACCCGGCACCTCGGTCCTGACTGAGCGCCTCGGAACCTCTGACAGACAAAACCCACAGCAACTAACAGGGGAGTCCCACGAAGCACAGCCCTCTCGCAGTGCGTCACACGGGGTAGCCTCCTCCTCCTAAGTTCTCATTGGTTCGCGGTGCTGCCGATCCACTCAAGGCATTCTGGGAAATGTAGTTCCTTCCCCACAGCTGCAGGCAAAGCAGGGGAAAAGGGCTCACTGTGCAAAAGGACTCAGGCTCAGTGGCTAGGGGCGCGGGAAGTGGACTATCCAGGTGGGCTTTGCCTCCTCTTTATTTTTTTTATTATAGAAAGGCTTTTGTTTTTAAAAAAATATACTTTATTGATTTTTTACAGAGAGGAAGGGAGAGGGATAGAAGCAGAAACATTGGATGAGAGAAACATTGATCTGCTGCCTCCTGCACACCCCCTACTGGGGATGTGCCCGAAACCAAGGTACATGCCCTTGACTGGAATTGAACCTGGGACCCTTGAGTCCGCAGGCAGATGCTCTATCCACTGAGCCAAACCGGTCAGGGCTGCCTCCACTTTGAAGGGATCGCCGTCATTTTCTTGGAAGTGCTCTCTGCAGCTGATCACCCAAGGTTTGTTGACAGGTTATTTCAGGCTTTGCAGGTGAGCATGCTCCCAGGGGGTATTTCCGATTCTCACAAAGGCTACAGACCCAAATAAAAATATGGCACAGAATCATTCAGACACAAATATGTCCACTGGTAGCCAAAGCCAGTACACAGGGTCTTATTGCAAGTCAAATGCATGCACTCCCTCCCCATCATCACGGCAGCTTCTCAGTCAATGTAAGTGTGGTCAGGACAACAGAGAACACACTCCAGATTTGCTCCTCATGATCTCAAACATTTTTCTTCTATTGCATATCCTGCCCCATTATGGTCACCTCCGACCAGATTTTTTAAAATTCTGTGGATATCTGTCCTTTTCCTCTGGAGAACTATGCTTGTGGTGAGTATACTAAAGTATCTTCTAAATACTCTTTAATCATAAACTAGAGGCCCTGTGCATGAAATTCGTGCACCGGGCCACCCTCTCCAATCTGGGACCCCTCGGGGGATGTCCGACTGCCAGTTTAGGCCCAATCCTAACATCTCACAATCTGGGACCACTGGCTCCTAACTGCTCACCTGCCTGCCTGATCACCCCTAACTGCCTCCCCTGCTGGCCTCGTCACCCCTAACTGCCTCCCCTCCCCCCGATGGCCTGGTTGCCCATTACTGCCCCGCCGGCTGGCCTGGTTGCCCCACGCAGCCTGCTGCTCAGTCATTTGGTCACCCCACATAGCCTGTTCGGTCGTCTGTTCAGTTGCAATGGTCACTTAGGCTTTTATATATACATACAGATAAGCAAAGAGTTTTAAACCACTGGACTCTTTACTTGCATTTAGTACTGTAAATGTCCCTCAGGCATTGATTTTTTCTTTTTTTCTGGTCAATGATTTTGCTGAAGGTACCACACACCAGCCCTTCACTGACCACCCCAGGCTTCTCCTCCTCCCTGAGCTCCTGTCACCTGCCCTCACTATCCTGGCCCAGTCTTTGTGGGCTGCCCTCCACTAGAACACCAGTTCCCACGGGCAGGGGACTCTGTACTTCCAGAGCCTGGAACAGTCCGGCCCAACAGTGTCCACACCCTCGGTCTTTACAGGTCTCAGCTGTGCCTGCCCTTGGCTGTGGCCCCTCCATCCAGCCTGATTCAAGTTCTCATCACTAGAGCCTCCCCTCAGCCTCCCACTCGACGACTCTGCCTCAAGTGCTGATAGGAAATACCCCTACCAACCCTGTCCAGGGCCCCCACCCTTGTTACCCACTCCACCACACACCCCAGCAGCACACTAATACCCCAAGTCCAGGGTCCCTCACCTCACTACAGGGGAAGGGGGTTTACTCTGCACAGGCCCAATTTAGGGTGAGAGGCAACAACAATGTACCCCCTCAATGTGATATCGTATTGAGTCCAAGGCTCTCCTCCTGGGAGCACTTGTATTGCACAATGTTCTTGGCATTGCAAATACACAGCCCCATTTCCTGGAGCATCCAAGCTACCTCCAGGACTGCCTGGGAGGTGACGGTGCTGAGGGGGGATTTATTTTTAATAAAATCAAAGTAGAAAATTACCCCCAAAGTGAAAAAACAGAGACTCAACACCAGTGGGCCTCATGTGTGTATGTGGGCTGGTCGAAGGCAGGACTTTCCAAAGGTGAACTGATTTGAGGGCTCAGAGCATTTGAGGGCTCCTCCCGGATACAGAAGTTGCAGCGGGCCAGGGGCCTGGGGATGACTCTGCATGGGGACAGAGAACCCTGGTCAGCTCCTCTCAGACGGACACAGAACCCCAATCCCTCCCAGGGGCCTGTGTCGGGATCCTCGCTGCCATGCCCTTGAGAAAGACAGTGTTCCCCAGCTGCAGGGGGAACACGTCAGGCAAAGGCGGGAGAGAGTGAGGAAAGGTGGTTGTGCAGGCAGTGGCCCCATCTCCATGAACTAGAGTGAATGGTCTGTTTTTTAAAAAAAATTGTTCATATACGTTTTTATTGGTTTCAGAGAAGGAAGAGGGAGAGAGAAACATCAACGATGAGAGAGAATCACCTATCGGCTGCCTTCTGCACTGCCCCCACTGGGGACTGAGCCCACAACCGGAGCATGTGGCCTTGACCACGATCGAAACCGGGACCCTTCAGTCCACCACAGGCTCTATCCACTGAGCCAAACCAGCCAGAGCTCTTTTAATTCTTAAGGGAGAGTGTAAGGGAGGGGGCAGAAAAATAGAGAGAGAGAGAGAGAGAGAGAGAGAGAGAGAGAGAGAGAGAGAGAGAAAAAGAAAGAAACACAATGACTGGATGTCTCCTAAACTAGTCACAATTGGGAGCCATGGATCAAACCTGCAAAATAGAACCACAAAGTCACGGGGTCTTTATTTCCAGGCCTTGGGCAGTAATGCAAACTAAGTCAATATTAGACAAACAGTGATTTTCTGCTGTCCCTTCCGAAGCACAGACAGTTTGGGATCCCCACCGTATCTGTTAACTCTACATGCTGACAGGTCACAACTGTGCTTGCCAATCATCCCAGGCAGTGAAAAGAACCCACAAAATTAAAGGTACAAAAGCAAAAACACCGTGACCATAACATCACAGACCAGAGCAGTGTACAGCAAGCAGTGTGCAGGTTGGTGAATTAGAAGCTGAAACAATTCGTGACAACAAAATGTGAGACCCACAATGTCCCTGAGAGAGGTGGCTCTTCTTAGCTGAGGACGGGGGCTCTGGATGAACCCTGGGTTGGGTCCATTCCCTCGTCAGAGAGTAAGGAATGAAGATCCTGCCAAGAACTTGGAGCAATCATAATTTCCTCCAGCAGAAATGAGGACACGGAATACATTTCCCCCGAGCACCAGGGGTGGTGACCGACGCACACTGTTTGGGTGAGCCAGGGGGTAGAGGAGGTCGTTTCAGCCACAAATACTCGCAGTGACATCAGTCACGTATGAGATCTTGGCACATTGGCAAGTGCAATGCAACTCCTTCGGGCCTCACTTGTACCTCAAATTTGTGAGGAATCGAGAAGAGTGTGTGTTCCAATAAAAGGAGTTTCTACTCAGGCTGATGGGTCTGAGTCTCCTTCAGTGTTGTAGTGTGAGAAAGATAAAACATCCCCTGTACATTTAAGGCTTTTCTCCAGTGTGGACTCTCAGATGTCTATCCAGGCTAGGCTTCCATCTGAAACATTCCCCACACTCACTGCACTCGTACGGCTTTTCTCCAGTGTGAATTCTGAGGTGGCCCATGAGCTTCGATCTTCGGCTGAAGGACTTCCTACAGTTGCCGCACTGATACGGCTTTTCTCCAGAGTGAATCCTCTGGTGCTCCGTCAGAGTGGAGATGAGCATGAAGGACTTCCCACACTCACTACACTTGTATGGCTTTTCTCTGGTGTGAGCTCTCTTGTGGTAATAGAGGTGACTGTTGCTCCGAAAAGATTTCCCGCATTCATGACACTCGTAAGGCTTCTCCCCAGTGTGAATCCTGTGGTGTTGAATGAGGGTACACTTTTGACTAAAGGACTTCCCACAACAACTGCATACAAAAGGCTTCTCACCGGTGTGCGTTCTCTTGTGCAGGCTGAGGTATGAGCTTTGACTGAAGGACTTCCCACAAACAGTGCACTTATACGGCTTCTCCCCCGTATGAATTCTGTAGTGTTGAATGAGGGTAAACTTTTGTCTGAAGGCCATCCCACAATCACTACATTCAAAAGGCTTCTCCCCGGTGTGAATTCTGTGGTGCTGAATGAGGGCACACTTTTGACTGAAGGCCTTCCCACAATCACTGCACACAAAAGGCTTCTCCCCAGTGTGAACCCTCTTGCGTTGACTGAGGTTGGAGCGCTGACTGAAGGCCTTCCCACAGTCGCTATCCTCATACGGGCTTTCTTCAGCGTACATGCTTTTATGTCGATTGAGGTTCAAGATACGGCTAAAAACTTTCTCACGTTTGTTACACTCGTACATATTTTCTCCTGAAGAGACAGCCTGATGTTGAACAACCTTCTGGTCGTGGCTCTCAGATTTTTCACATTTATCCCAAAAGTGATAACTTTCTCCACTGAGAAATTCCAGCGAAATCTCACTGCCACTGTGTGGCTCCTGAGTGTCAAGAGGGGCCTGGTGCTGGAGAAGCTCTGAGATGGCTAGGAAGTCTTCCCCAACCTCCCTACTAGTTGAAGGCACCTCTGATAAGTAGAAGCTGCACCTGGTCACAGACAAGGCCCTGTCCACAGCTTCTTTCCAGGGCTTCTCTCCACTGGCTTCCCTCTGCTGCTGGTGAGGGTTTGCATTAAAAGAGAAGTATCTTCCACATGCATCAATGAAAAGGGCTTTCTGCTCAAAGTCTGCTGCTTGTGACTCAGTCACATGCAGAATGTTTTTTAACACAGACAAACACGGCTTACACACATCGGTCCTCTGGGTTGCTGGCTCTGTCTCAGAAGCCCTGACCAGTGACTTGCCTTGTTCAGATACACTCTGCTCAGAACAGGCCTCCTCATCATCCGTTTTATGCCAACAACCTGCAAAGACAGAAATGCTGTGGAACTGGATGTTGACTGTGGTGACGGGGGAAGTGCCACTGCTCAAGTGTTTTGCACATAATACATGGGTTCCATGCACCTGGCTGAAAATAAGAGATGTGCAGGAAGGATTAATAAGAGGCCGCTGTGAAGCCTGGGCCTTTGAATTTTACAATACAGGAAGGCCTCACCAGAAATATGACCGCCGAAACCGGTTTGGCTCAGTGGATAGAGCGTCGGCCTGCGGACTGAAAGGTCCCGGGTTCGATTCCGGTCAAGTGCATGTACCTTGGTTGCGGGCACATCCCCCATAGGAGATGTGCAGGAGGCAGCTGATCGATGGTTCTCTCTCATCGATGTTTCTAACTCTCTATCTCTCTCCCTTCCTCTCTGTAAAAAATCAATAAAATATATTTTTAAAAAAAGAAAAAGAAAGAAAAGAAATATGACCCATACATGGCAAGGACCACATGGAAGAGAAGCCCGACCTCCAGCTCAGCCTTCTGCTAACAGTGTTCAGCAGGGCTTGTCTGCCGGTGAAGGGGGAAATCTGTGCATGGGGTTGGTAAGGTCGTATTCCAAGCAAAATTCAATACACCAGTACCTGGTGTCAAACACTACCTAAGCATGAATGTGCACCTCATAACCCATGTGTTGGTCAGTGTTACAGAATACCAGGGGCACCGGTTAATAATGCGGATTTTTTTCAATAGATGGAGTTACACATCTGTTGATATATATGCGATTTGATATGTATGCTATTTTGTTGTATTGACAACAAGCTTCAAAACTTAGTATGTCTAATTTTCTGAAGGTGTTAATATCATAGATATTTTTTCGCTTAAAAATGTCAGATTGCGCCCTAACAGTTTGGCTCAGTGGATAGAGCATTGGCCTGCAGACTGAAAGGTCTCAAGTTCGATTCCAGTCAAGGGCATGTACCTTGGTTGTGGGCACATCCCCAGTAGGAGGTGTGCAGGAGGCAGCTGATCATTGTTTCTAACTCTCTCTCTCTCTTCCTCTTTGTAAAAAATCAATAAATATATTTTTTTTAAAAAAAGAAGAAAAAATGTTGAATTGCGTGCCAAAAAAAGAGCATTTGCAGGAAGTTTTATTTCATTACTTTATTTTGAAGAAAAGTGCTGCTCAAAGTTATCGTATACTTCGGGAAGCTTATGGTGAACATGCTCCATCTCAAGATACTTGTGAATGCTGGTTTAAACGCTTTAAAAGTGATGATTTCGATGTGAAAGACAAAGAACGTCCAGGTCCATTTGAACCATGCTTTGATCGTAAAATAACCAGAATGGGCCAGAAGATACGGCAAAGTAATTTTGCTTCATGATAACGCACCATCACACTCTTCAAAACCAGTTAAAGACATGTTAAAAGATCTTGCCTGGGAAGATTAACCCACGTGCCGTATTCACCACAACTTGCTCCTTCACATTACCACTTGTTCCAATCGATGGCACATGCACTTCCTGAGCAGCACTTCAAAATGTACAAAGAAAAAAAAAACAAAACTGAAAAAAAAAGTACGAAGAACTGGAAAATTAGGTCTCTGAATGGTTTGCCTCCAAACAAGAAAAGTTCTATTGGGACGGTATCCACACATTACCTGAAAGATGGGGAAATGTGTAGCTAGCGATGGGCATTACCTTTGAATAAAGCACTTTTGATGTTTCTCTTGAAATTATCGTGTTTTCTTTGATTACGAAATCTGCTATTATTAACCAGTACACCTGGTAATGCAGAGGCAGCAGTGCAGAGGAACAGGTGATACAAAAAGTCCAAAAGGTGAAGACAGACAAAAGCCGGGAAGTCGCAGATTAAACGACAAGTCGGCAAAGTGTCAGGTAGGAAAAGGAAAGGAAGGAATGAGACGTGGCCAGTGGCACTTGCATCTAAACACTGCTGGACATCAAGATGTCCCTGGTGTGATCTGAACACAGCCCATGTGGCATACCTTCTCCCAGTGACCCCTAAGCAAGGCCTGGCCTCCTGAGATCATGTTGCATGTTCACCCTGTGAAAAAAACAGGGTCCTCCTGCACCTTCTACTGTACAAATACGTCAAACCTAAATATTCTGAGTATTAGTGAAGGACAACAGAGGTGAGCAGCCAGCACTGGCCCTGACCAACACAGCGTGCACAGTATTCAGGGAACAGATATTACAAACCATTGAAGGAGGGTTTCACAAGAACAGCCCATGGATCATGTAAGTAAAGAACATACCCTGGCACAGGCCGTCACAAGAGCCTTTAGCTGTGGAAGGGGCAGAAGTGGAAGCCATTGGGTGGACACCATCACTGCACCGTGAAGAGGGAGTGCGAGGTGGCACCCAGGAAGCTGTCTGCAAGACTCCTGACTCCCAGGCACTTCCTGCACTTTTTGAAGCAACTTGTGTTATGGATGTTCGTGGGGTCCACTGGATGGACTCTCCACACAGCTCACCACTGGCTGCCACAGCACATTTAACAAGAATGTGGGGAATGAGCAGAGCCTCTTCTGTGGTCTGACTGTGGGAGGGAGAAAGCTACATCTGGAGAATAAAGAGAAAAGTGGGCATCAACCCAGGACACTGGGAGAATGTGAAGGTCTTACCTACAGATGAGACAAGCGCAAACACTTCCAGCATCACATCGCAGTACAGAAGTCTCTGAGGCTCATCAAGGAGCCCCCACTCCTCCTGAGAGAAGGCAACGGCCACGTCCTCGAAGTCCATATCCTGTCACAATGGAGAGAGTTCATTCCATGATCAGCTTCTCTCCTAAAATTCCAATTCTGTCATCGTCTCCACCCACCACATCCGTCTGCTCCCTCTGCTCCCCACATTAGAGAAGACACCAGGCCTTTGTCCCATCCAAGTACTTCTCTCCTTATATTCCTCCTGACACTGTGTCTTCCCACAGCAATAGGGCAGATGGGCACAGAGATGACACCTGTGCTCTGGGACTCACATGGAGGCCACACTGCCCCTTGTCAGTAACAGTGATTCCACCAACATAGTTTAGGGAGAGATGTTGGCCACAAGGACAGTGTGAGTGATTTGACAACGGCCTTGTCAGGCAATACTCTTGGAGTCCCCCAGGCTGTACCTCAAAGACAGCAGAGTCATGGCATCACCCCTCAGCCTTTCAACCCGAATTCCGTTTTGCTGAGGCCATCCCTGTGCACCGCCTGCTGCACATAATTCTTTGAGCCACAGGCCTCCCACACAGCTGCATTCCCAGAGGCACAACTTCAAAGGTAACACCCATATGGGGTGACAGGGATGGTTTTATTTCCTAATCTTCTTCTTTTCCAAAACTGTAACTCATCACCTCTGTAACGTATTTCTCTCACCTTCTCCCTTCCCCGGGCCAGTAGAGACATTCAAGCCCAGGTGACACTGTTGTAGGCTAGCTCATTCTTGTGTCATCGCTCAACAGCGACAGGCATGTGTGCACATACATGACATCGAAGCTCTGGAACTGGCACGCAGCACCACAACACCCCTCTTTTCAGGAAATTAGCCTATAATCCCCCTTACTGTATGATCCAGACACCACCAGAAATGGACTCACTCTTAGGTCAATATCAGGGCCCTGTAGCCATGAATTCTCTCCCCCTCACCAAGGGCACATGACTTTCTCCCACACCTCTCTCACACCTGCACTCACACAGCCCCAGCCCCACAGGCATCTCCTCGGCCTCTTACTCATTACCCAGCAGGTGTTGCCCAATTCAAACAGGATCAAGTCCTGCCCAGATACTCAGAGGCAGCCTGTAGTCCTGCTACGAAGGCCTCTCTCCATGACTCTATTTTCCTTCAACCCCAATTATTGAGAAACACAATCATACCTCAGATTCCCAGAGCCCACCTCTTCTGGTGCTGCACTTGATGTCCCTTTAGCAGTCACAGCCAACATCTCTCCCCTTACCCGTCACCCAAGTCCCAGCCCCGATGGCCCTCTGCACCAAGCCCAGTGAGTCTCACAGATGACCACTCAAGCCTCTAACCTAATCCACCAGTCTGACTGCAACACCCCAGGCCACACCAAGCGTCAAAGCAAAAATCATGGTGAGTGTTTAGAGAAGTAACTCTGTACCAGCCTTAGCCTCATCCTGTGTGAATTACTCTTCAGCCTCCAATTCATCTCAGGTCCACTCATCCTTTAAAGGCCTTGGCCACTGGGAAACCATTCTCTCTCCCCAACACTCTACATGACCACTCTGTCCCTTTGTTGTGTTGTGACACCCACCTCCCACAAACAGGGGCCCCG